TTGTTGGATGCAATCCCTGTATACACTGCAGTAAATCACAGACTTCCAATTACTTTCCTCCATAAAACAAGGCTTGTATTCAAATCAGGCCACAAAAACGAGGGACGGAGATGGGACAACTGAACCCAAGCAAGCCTGGGGGCGCTGAATGAACATGAACATTCAAGTGTGCGCGCATCTGTCTTTGTGGAGAGTCCAATTTGTTTCTTAACTTATTTTTCTTTTATCTAAAGGTGACATTGGTCCACTATACATTCTTAGCCATTTTTCTTTATGAAAAGATTTTCACTGATTCAGAATATGAATACTCATACAGTTTTTTGTTTTTTTTCATTCTGTTGAAAAAAGAGAATCCCAAATTTATATTGTTGAAAAGTGCAACAAAAGAAACTTTAACTAATGCCATGTTGAACTGAGTAACCATTCTCAGGGGACTGTTTTGATTTAAGTGGACCAGTCATTTATAGTAAGAGAAAGTCTTTGAAGTGACTTACCAATGTAGTTACCTTTATTTTTTTAAACAAGTCATATAGTATATAGTAACTACAGATCATTTTAATTTTGATGCAGTTCATTAGTACCAAGCTAAATTTTTAAAAGATTGTTTTACAATAAAACAAAATCTGAAAAATGTCTTGCACATTTGCTGGTACTTACTTTGCTCCGTGCAGTCAACTGTCTTCACTAGTTGCCAATTTAGTGAGTAGAATCCATCCATGTTTAATTTAATTTCAATTTATAAACTGGGGATCTTTAATAAAGTATCCAGGTCAGGAACTTAGCTAGATAGAGACACTAATCCGAGGTCATTTGCAAATTAACAGGACAAATGGCCATTTATATATGTGTATTAAACTATTCTGTTCTCCTTCACACACATTAAACCTCCATTGACCTTGTTGTTGTTTGTACATTACAAATCTCTTTTGTCAAGGCTCCTGTTCTCCATATCATGCTTGTCCCTATTAACCGGCTCAGGTAGTATCATCATGCACGCAGAGACTCCTCAATTCGTTTTTGATCAGTTCCTCTGTAGGCTGTTGGACAAAGAACATTTAGGATGCTTTCCTTGCTGCTCGTCTCCCTGCCACTGACTTCATTAAGCAACCTGCTTTCATTCAAATTCACACACACACACACAACAAAGCGCTTCTCTTTCATACCTATGATCCGACAGCGGAGAACATCCAAGGGTTGCATCTGTGCAGAATGCATCAATAACCGTGGAAACTAAAAGGCCTTGTCAGGAACGGGGAGTTGTCGCAGGCGTGGAAATGATTCTACCCGATGCTCATCTGAAGTGCAATCAGCCCATAATCTGAGAATACATCAGACCTCAGTGACATGGAAATTTCCTGCTCCTCCGATCTCATTTTCAAATGTAGTAATCACAGAGAGAGGCGCTCAGCCTCACCAAAATGTATAAATAATTTTCATTCAAACATATTAACAGTCAAAATACCAGAATCCATCATGGCTATGAAGAGAGCTCCTTACAAAGCAATCAAGGCCTCTGCATGTGTTCTTTGTCTTTGGCAGCTGAGAGACAAGGCTCAGATTACTTGAGCGAGCCCTGTTTTGCATAATGGCCTACTCCCTTGGTGCTTTTAAACTTCCTTGTCAATCCATTACAGTTACCAAGCCCAGCTTCCTGCCTGGCTTTAATACAATGCTTCCTTGGTGAGAAGATCTGAATGAGGTCTTAAAGACCATTTTATTAAGGCATGCATGTCGTCATCCATTCATCTTGCCTAACCAGCAGACACATTTATGTTCCATGGACAAGTTACCTACCATCATCTTCAAAGAGCAAAAACTTGCCCTTTTTATATTACTGGGAAAGCCATGGATTTTGGAGACCAGTTAGAAGGTGAAGTAATCAACACTTTTGATTTTGACCTTTCACATTGACCTCTCAAGCTGAACCGCTGATGAGAAGCTTTCTAAAATTAGTAAATGTTCTTCTGACTTCCTAAGCTGTTGTACAGTTGTATGTGTTATTTTAAAACTAACATTATTATGACCAATGCTGCTGTTGACATGCTACAACGACAACCTCTGCAACTAAGGAAGTGTAACGTTAATATTTCTTCCTCCCATCAACTGGTTACTGTGGTTACTGAATGCCTGTTTATGTCTAAGTGATCATGTTGCATCTAACAATTTTCTCTGAGAAATTATTGGCTTAATAGAGTTTGGGGAACTTTAGGACAGTATAGTAGACTTGGTTTGGTTGGTTTATTTGGTTTATTTGGTTTCATTCATACAATAAGGTATTATGGCTAATGCAGATTTAAGGAAAAAATTTAATTGGCCACAGAGAAGTACACAAAGAAAAGTTTTTTTCTGGAAATTACACTCTTTGATTTTTTTTTAATTCTCAAAATTGAGTGAAGAAAATGACAATTTTTCCCGATTGCTGAAATACATTTTTGACATTAAGAATCTCTGATATTGCAAAGTGAAAAATTTAAAGAAACATTTTTAACGTTTTTAGAAATAATAAGGTAGGACATTTACAATAAAAAGTAACAGAAGTCCTCTAGGATTGAGGTGGTAAATTTGGGTGATGGACATCTGGAAATTTTACAAAGTATTTTAATTCTTTTGTGTCCTGTTTCAGAGAAAATAAAATCAAAGCTCGAGCAGAGTTTGTCAAAAGGCATGTGGGAGACTATAGAAATAATTTGAAAACAATCAGGGGAGTGTCCTGAAGTGGCCTCGTTAAAGCTCAGACCTCAACTTGAAAAGTTTTTGCAAGGACAAGTGGCGGAAAATTGTAGAATCCAGATGTGCAAGCCTCATTGAGACCTAGCCACACAGACCTGAAGGAAGTGAATATTTATGCAGCCACATATTTTATGTTTCATATTTTTATTTAATTGTCTTTTTTTTTTGTAGAAATCAGTTTTCACTTTAACATCAAAGAAGGTTTTATTTGGTAATTTGTCAAAAAAGCCAGATTCTGTTAAAGATTGTAAAAGCAATAAAAAGGGAAGAAAACCAGGGAGTGAATATTTTTCCACAGACTTTGTATGGACCTTAAAGTAGCAGATAGTTGCTACAAAGATTTCCAGGCCTAAAATATTAGGAGATGGAAAAAATGGATGGAAGTGTTCCCGAGTCTTACTTCTAAAAACACTTTTGGCCAATTTAGCTGAAACACAACTTTATGCCTGGGCTTAGACTTATTGTTTTGCCACAGATAGTGTCATAAGTTCAACACATTTATGTCTAGAAATGCAAAATGGCAACAAATCAAGCATAACACTATCTCATTAAAGTTCAGCAAAAATATCCCTTTCTTCATGCTAGAGGAGAAAGAGGATGTTAGCACTATTCACAGGAGGCGAAAATTAAGGCAGTTTAAATTTGGAAGCCACCCGAGCTTGACAGGACATGGGCTGCAGTTTTATGTCCCATCATTTATCAGCAGTTTATATTTTCTATGACCGCATTGTCTCTTTCAGGAACCCTCGGAATCACACCAGCTGTAAAAACCGCCACCCTGCATTGTCCCTCTCAAACGCTAATGTTTGCATAACAGCTTGAGTCTCTTAATGATCCACACACACTTCTGTATAACATATTTCTTTCTAATATTGTTTTAAATGCTTTCCTTTTCTGAGCAACACAGTTAGGGTCAGTGAGGGTGGAATCCTTAAAAAAATAGATGACAAATGAAATATTCTTAAGATGGCATAAAGCTAGTGAGCGAAGTGAGCGAAGGCCTTTATAGTTGGTGATAAAGCACACTGAGGCAAGGCAAACACGCATGGATCACAACTCTTTTCATTACAATACTATCAGCATCCCTCCATTTCCCACTATCAGCTTTAAATGTTAAAACCAAGACTTTTACGTAAAGTTCCATAATAAAAAGAATAATAATGACTTTCCCTGTGCCAACTGATTAATGGGATGGATACTAGTTTTTTGCAGTGAGGAGTCCAAAATATTTCCACCCAAAACTTAGCTGAGTCGGGAAATGCAGTATGGTCAGTCTATATATATATATATATATATATATATATATATATATATATATATATATATATATATATATATACACACACTGCTCAAAAAAATAAAGGGAACACTCAAATAACACATCCTAGATCTGAATGAATGAAATATTCTCATTGAATACTTTGTTCTGTACAAAGTTGAATGTGCTGACAACAAAATCACACAAAAATCATCAATGGAAATCAAATTAATTCACCAATGGAGGCCTGGATTTGGAGCCACACACAAAATTAAAGTGAAATGTTCCATGTTTTTTGAGCAGTATATATATATATATATATATATATATATACATACAAAAATATATATATATATATTGTTCCCTTTATTTTTTTGAGCAGTATTAATTCACAAATGAATACTTAGTCATTTAAATTTTATTTTTAGACGCATTTCTTCTTCTATATCTATATAAAAATGTTAGTTTAAGCATGCAAGAATGCATTTCCATATTAATTCAAGTTAAAGAAAATTAAAGTTAAAGTAATATATAATGTTTGTTTATTAAAACTAAAATAAATGTCAGTAAATGTGGCTATTTTATGTTTACCCTTTCTTTATATTTCATTCAATCTTGCCCAAAGTGTCTAAAATTTATTTTCCTACAGCACAAAACGTTATTAGAATACATTTCATCTTTAGTCTCTTTGTTTTTCTTAATGTTTTTCTTTTCATCTATAAAGCTAATCAGGCAATTGTGAACACCCATGCAAACATCCAGAGCCATTTATTTTTATGAACTTCACTTATTTCATCAGACTCTTTTATCAGATGGCAATGTGTAAAATTATTTAGATTTTTGTTTCTTATTTTTCTTCTATGCTCTTTTTGTGCCCGGAGCAAAGAGGTCAACAAAGAGTTATAGCTCAGTGATCTGCAGTGGTTAAGTCTCTGAGATTCATAGACAGCTGCAATGATAAAGTTCAGTCCAGCAGAATTGCTAGTAGTGCAATAACAGGAAGAGAGGGTCACAATAAAGTTTAGTTTAATGACAAGAACAAATAACTTTAACATTTGGTGGGGTGCACTCAACCCTTTCTCTGGGATCACATCTGATATATCAGCAGGCAACTGGCCGTGACTGCTGGGCGATTGTGCTTGGCACTCTGGCACTGGTGATGCATGCAGGGTCTCGTGGCAGGTGTCCATTTTATAGAGTTATTCAGTTGGAAATGCTGCACTCTGGCGAAGGCTTGGGATGGGAAGGAGTGCCTGGGTAGATTATAGTCATAGCACAGCTGGCAGCTCCCGGGCTCTCCATGCACAACACCGGCCTCCAGCTAACTTTTAGCCTGTAAAAAACCAACAGCAAGTTTTTGAGGAGAATATCAAGAGAAGAGGCAACACACAAAAATCTGCACACACAAAAAAAATATGAAAACAAAGTAGGAATTTAAGTTGTTCAGCTCCTGGTCTTTATTCGTCCTGCTGGTAGATGTAGTGGGACATATTAAGGTCTCTCTTGTAAATGACATCTTGGACCTCAATGAGACAACCTGTATAAATAAAGGAGAAATAAAAATATAAAAAAAATAAACATTTTTATTTTTTCACTTATCTGATTCGGAACTACAAGGATTTAGATTTTGAAATACATATGTGACAAAACAAATTCATAATACCACTGAGTTAAAAACAATACATTGTATGAAAATATTGCTACTAATGTAACATCTTTTTACTATTTCTAATATTGCTTAGTACTAAAAATAAATTCACCTCTTCATCCCTCATTCAACTCTTTGTTCTAGATTCTTCTGCTGTTGAAGTATTTTTTAATAACGCTGCTCGTATGATTTTAAAAAATATGTAGCAGTCAAAAGATCTTTTGCACACTGGCTGTCCAGTAGGTGGCAGTGTGTGGAATGACACACTGGAGTTCAATTAACAGGTGTGAATGGATATGCCGTCCCCATGCAGGCAGAATTGATTCTGAATAAATATATGTAGATCTAAGAAATGAACTGAAAACATTTTTAAAAAGTCAAAGAAAATATTATTTCTTTATATGACTTGGAACAAGGTAGTGTGTTTTTTTAGCTCAACAAATTCGAGGTTCAGGATTGAATTGAACTGTGAAAGACTGGATCTGAATTAGATTTTGTACAGTGCCTCAGAAAATATTCAGCACTTCACTTTTTCTACATTTTATTTTAAAACCTCGTTCCAAATTGCATTAAATTGTTTTTCCTCAAAATTCTACACACAAACACCAAATTATGTCAATGTTGAAAAATGTTTCAGATTTTTTGCTCATTTATTAATAGAAAACCGACAGATCACATTTATGCAACATATTCACAACCTTTGATTAAGACTTTGTTGATCCACCTTTGGCAGAAATTACACCCTCAATTCCACAATCTTAGCATACAACTTATCTTTTGACAGTTTCTCCTATTCTTCGTTGCAGTTTTTCTCAGTCTCCATCAGGTTGGATGGGAGACATCCATCAGCCATTTTCAGACCTGGGTTGGTCCAAACTTCTCCCATTTACGAATGATGGAGGCCGCTGAGTTCACTGAGACTTTCAACGCAGAAGAAATATTTCTGTATCCTGCCACAGCTTTGTGCCTCAGACCAATCCTGTCTGATCGTTGTACAGACAGTTCATCTGAGTTCATGCTTGGTATTTCACTCTGACATTTACTGTCAACTGTGGGAACCTTACTTAGACAGGTGTGGACTTCCCAAATCAAGTCCAATCAACTGACTTTACCACAGCTGGAAAGTGGAAACAGCTCAATTTAAGCTTTCTGTCAAAGGTTGTGAACATTTATGTGAATGTGATTTCTTGGTTTTCTGTTTTCTATGACTTTCCAAAAAATATTGTCACATTGTCGTAATGGGGTATTTTTTGTAATAATTTTGTGGAAAGAGATTAATTTAATATAATTTGGAAAAAGGCTAACATAAAATGTAGAAAAAGTGAAATACTGTGATTACTTTCTAAATGCACTGTAAATGTATTAAAAGTGTGCTGAAACCTATTTTTGACCAAATTTGAAAGCATGTAAATGTAATTTAATTGGATCATATCTTGTGATGTAAAATGAGATGACATTTGTCATGAATATGGTCACATAAAAAAACTGAATTAGAATAAACTTTTTTTCTTTTTTCTTTTTTTTTAACTTTTGGTATATTTTTAAGCAAAATTTGATCAATAAAGGAATTAAGCATGTTTGTCTTTGCTGGAGCTCTATTTTTTTCTGCCGGCAAATTAATGTTAAGCTTGTCTCACAAGCTGTTCTGTTTCACATCAACATGTTAACAACAGGAGCATGCACAGAGCGCTGATGAGAACATTTTATGGATCATAACAATATTCAATTTGCTGCCACAGCACCCTTTGACAGGGTATTTAGCCTCGGTGAGTGATGGGCGCTGATGGCCCTGAGGTGTTGCTGATGGCTGCATGGGTTTGCTGGGCAGCTGCTGGTTTTTGGTGCTGGATCAGGGAGTTCAGGCTGGCGGCCATATTTTCAAAATCAGCAGGAGATCAAGCCACTGGAGGACTGATGATGAAATACAACATGCACAAATAAGGTTTTAACACCTTACGTCGTTTTACATACTTAAATATTTTTAGCTTTAAAAATGTCAATCATGTTACTCTCTGTTACGACTTCTGCACTACTCCAAGTTGCCGTATTTCAAGTTTATAAAACCGATTTATGATCGCCATTGTTGAACGTAGGCCTCATATGCAGATTCATTTGAGGGATCATTATCCAGAAAGAATGTGGGAGACAAAGTGAAGACAGGCTGGTGACAAATGATCAGGCGGATAATAGGCTGGAAGACACACTTACCATGCTAACAACACGGAACGCAGAATGGACGCGCCCCCTGTCGAAAACAAACAATGTGCTTCCAATCTATCATCGTTGATCCACGTCATCATTACCCCTCGATGGCCGCACGGACATCAACATGACAATGCAACATGCAGAGGCGACATCAGGGAGAGAGATTATTATCATAGAAAATGCAGCACAAATCTCTTCTGGAGTATAATAGCTAGTGTGGAGAGCAGCAAACAAACAGATTTATGTCTCTGAAGAGGCAGCTTGGCTGAGCAGTGCGTGTGCACATGTATGTGTCTTTGCCTCAGTGCCTATTTGGAAAAGCTTAGCAGGTGAAATGTTGTGTTAATTCTGTACAGGTTGGGCTAATGTCAAGCCCCCGGGTCCTTTTCTGTTGGCAGGTCGGCTGGTGATTAGAGATATAATTAAGAGCAGTTTTGACACAGGCACCGTCCTCCAGCTCCTCCACTGGCCCCCCGGAGCACTTCCCATCTCTGTTTATGGGGCTTCTTCCATTATCTGCCAACAAAAGGAGCCCGCCATGCACAAAACCCCAGCTGGCTCTGACGGGGAGTACACAGCTCCTCTCTGGCGACAATAAAAAGAAACTTGAGTTTAAACAAAAAAAGTTACACCATATTTGCTCAAACTAACTATGATGAAAGGCAATGAAGACAAGGGATCCTCATGTAGGCATCAATATAAATATTACTGGAAGGTCAATTAATATGTAAATTAACTCCTCCATTTAATTAGCTATTTAACTATTTTCCAAGGCAGGGACATATTAAATCATGCTTAAAGACCCCTCTAACTAGCCTCCTGACAATAGTGCTAGGGAGTCGTGGGCTCATAAACTACCGGCTTGACCTATAAAGAGCCCCGAGTCTGCTAATTCCATCTCAGCCTAATTTTATGACTTGCATAAAATAACCATAGTGCAGCTTTGTAGCTGTTAAGAGGATATGGGTAATAAAATGGAGCTGGAGAAAGCATCAGAAATCTCCTCTTCAGTAGTGTCCTCATTTATTATTCTATTATTCTTTGCAGGGTTCCAGGCTCATGTGAAAGACAAATGACCTTATTATATTAAATAATTTGTGAGGATATTAACCGTTAATCACGCATAAACAGCATTTAAAAGGTATTGATTTTCCAGTCCTCTCAACAGCTTGTTAAATTTACGTCCAATAACATGATAATAGATAATCAGGTGAATGATACTCATTTGTAGGGGACAGGGGAAAGGTAATTGGCGCCAGTGACCTTGACTTCAACCATATTTCTTCATCCGGTTGTTTCATGACCTCCGAGCATCTTTCAGCACAGGTCAACAGAGGCTCACAGTGTTGGATGTTGTGTCCTGCTTAAGCAGTCAGACATCAGGTCTGTTTTTACTGCGGATGCACCAATCAGACTTTTCCTGGAAAATACCAATGCTGTTCTAGTACAAAGTATGTTAGGTCACATTGCCAATTCAAATTTTAAATGATTACAATTAAATTTGTCTTACAACACCTGAAAGAGAAAAAAAAAAGATTATGTAGATGAAAGGTTTGTATACAACATAAAGGAACTATAAGATTATCTCAGTTTCTGAACTTTACAGATATTCCTGATACAACGGGATGTTTTGTGGTGCAACTGTGACTCTGTCATCTTGTAACTCAAAACTTGTGGGTTCAACTCCAGCTTTCTGCTGCCTAACATCGTTGTGCCTCAAGTTGACTATTTATCTGTGCATTCTCATAGTTTTATGAGACCATTTCTGCTGCTTTAAAACAACTTAAACAAATGTTTGTAAACATATTTGTTCAGGCAAATATGTTTGCAAATCTTTACAGTGTCATTACTTTTCTATTGGATGGATTTTAGCTCATAGCAAACTACAGTGGACTTGTGGTATTTGCAGGGTTCAGGGACCGTTGCTGTCTTTGAATGACCAAAATCCATGAATAATTCAAACCCTCTATAAAACATTTATAACTGCTTATTTTACTAGTTCAAACACATGGATTAATATGGAAAGTGGAAACCATCTTAGCACTACCACAGCAGCTAAAATCTGCTGTCTTCCTTATCTCTACTTTCAGGGTTTCAGCCAATCAGCAGCAAGGAAAATGAATGGTTCGCCTAGATTGGCTGCTTTGCAAACGGCAGTCAATGGCGTGTCAACAAGCATTGCACCTAGGTATTCCAGCTGAGGTGTAGTTTGTCTTTATATTTTTAGAAAAAAATATCAGCAAATACTTTGAAGTGGCAACTCTGTAAATATTTAAATGTGACTATGCCTGGGTCCATTGTAATCTGTTCCTGTTCTAGTATGGAGTATTTTGAGAACTATACTGAATCGTCTTGAGTTTGGCATACATTTGTGTTAAGTTCCCTTCAGTCAACAAGTACCAGAACCTTCCATTGTAATTACAATTATAAGTCTTTTGAGGTATGTCTTTAAAAGTTGTGCACATTTAGTGAATTAAATTGTTGACCTTAACTGGATCCTTCTAACACATAACTATGATTTGAACTGTTTCATTATGGCTCTGGTTGTATGTTGAGGGTATTTGTCCTGGTCTAAGGTGAACCTCCTCAAGTCTATTGTAGCTTTTCTTTTTCCTGGATTGCCTGAATTCAGCCCCATCCAAAATCTTCACTCTCCCTGAAGAAGAAAAGAAAAAATCTTAATTAGAACAGTATCTATGTGAAGGTTAAATGAAACAACTGGACTTATTTCACTGACGAGTCCAGTGAAATAAGTTACATGACTGCATTTAGTGATACGAGATTAAAAGAACTAAACAGAAATGCAAACCTTTCTTATAAAAACAGTGTATGATTATCCTTCCACTTCATACTCACCGTCAGTCTAGTACACAAAATCCAACCAAAATGAACTGAATCTTGCATTTACCAAAAGAAGTTCAAAGGTTATCAACAGTTTTGCAAAGTAGGGAATGTTAGCCCTCCGAACCACAATTATAGTTCTACTTTTCGACTTAATCTGAAGCAACAAAGTTCTGTGTGAAAAGTTTCCTCGTTTCCTAAACTTCATCAGAGGCATCACTCTCTGCTTGGCACTGCTGACAGCTGTATTCTGATCTCCATGATTACTTTTTTGATGCAGTTTTTCCCCCCATCTTTGTGTGTGCGCGCCAGGGATTTCTATATGTCTCCTGACCGCCTGCAGATACCATTTAGATTTGAAAAGTCCTCTAAGTTGCTGTTGGGGAAGCAACTTGCCACAATAATAAATTTGCAGCAGGAAGGAGAGAATAGCAAGTGGCATGCAAATCTGTCTTGGTGTCCCTTTGGGCCCTGGTGTTCACTCCGGGAGAAAATGAAGCCATGCTGTGCCAAACACTGTCTCTCTTTCTCCCAGGCTTAATGTTAATTTCAGTGGAGAGACAGCCAAATAGGGTGTCAACTGGTCTTTTTTTCTCCAGCCACACAGGCACAGGGAGGCTTGTTCAGTAGATGGATATGTGAGAGAATGGACTCACACTGCCTACTTGACACAGACTCTCTTGATTCATTATGACAGGCCAATCTTTTATTAGCCTCTGCTTCGTATTCAAACCCCATCGCAAAAAATAGTGAAAAACTGAAATTTTTTCTGCATGAAGCCAGAAGATTTATTAAGCAGCACCTCCTCCTGACCCCATCATCTGAAGGCTGATAATTATTTGCTTCTTATTTGTGTTCAGATCTTGTTATCAAGGTCTTATTTGATATCCCTGTCAACTCCTGCACCATTGAGAGATAACCACACACACCCCTGCGGCTTGCAAATGATTATATAATGAAAAAAAAAAAAAAGCAGGTACAGTTGGGCTTTCACTTTGTACTTTCATCACTGTTCAAGCGACAGCATTTAAATGATGGCTCTGTAGTTTCAGCAGATTTTAGAACAGTAAAGAAATCTAGAGTTGATGGTAATATAATTCAGTTACTTCATAGTAGCCTGGCTTTCACACTTTGAGGATGACCACAGATAAGATATTAACCTGATATGCAATGGTCAACTCCTCCATGTTGTTAGGTTACCTCATATACAAAATATCTGGGGTTTCAAAATGAGGATATAATTAGATTTTTAAATCTTAGCACAAAGGCAGTTTGAACACAACAAACTGACTTGTTCACTTTACTTAGACATTTACCCGAGATATCTTATTTCAAATTAAAAAGAAAAAATGTAATTTGTTTCTAAAAATCTGAATTAGGAGTAACATATAAAGTTTGATTTTAAAATAATAAAATGGCAAATGCCCTGTGTTTATATATGCATTGGCATATCAAAGTACATTGAGGATTTATACCCTTCAAAAAACAAGAAAAAGGCTTTTTTGGCATTACTGCAATCAAACTTATTTGTATCTGCTGACCAGTTTTATTTTTACAAAAACTTTGTGGTTTTAATGTTTTTTTTCCCATTTGCTGAGCTGTATGTGCCATGTGCAGATCAAGATACAGTAAACACTGCATTGAAGCTGGAACTTTAACCTGTTTTAACATATACTACTGTAAGTATTAGTTTCAAAGGTTTTGCATTAAAAAAAGAGTTGAAAAAGTGTTTCTTCTGTCAAAATGTATTTATTTTTATTTTGCCCTTTGAAATGCCATAATTTGTACAAAACAATGCTTTTTGTCTGACTGCATCGATTTTAAAATTTTGATCAGATGTTCTGATCAAATATGAGTAATTACTCAGATGACTACTTTTTACTTTTACTTGAATAAAAACAAATAAAAATGTGTTGAAGTAACATTACTTTTACTTTAATATAATTTTTGGGTACTCTACCCACCTCTGTTCAGAGGCAATGCTTTTAGAGCCGGCATCCTGAAGATCAGCAGTAACAGTGTAACTGATTCTGTGCTGGTGGATGGATGTGCTCTGGTGTTGGGCAAGAGGGGTAAACTGTATTGATTCTGATCAAGTCTCATTTTTGTAAGCAGACGGCACTTCACGCTGTGTTTGGGTACCTTTTTGATGGCCTTGACAGATTCTGCTGAATGCTGTCAGAGACTATTTGGAAGGCTGGACAAGGCTGGAGGAGCAAACGGGGTGTGGAGGGAAGAAGAAGAGAAGAAACAGGAGGAAGAGGAGGAGGAACAGAGAGAAGAGCTGAAAGGAAAAGGAGGAGGGAATCTGTTCATCTCAGTGCAGCCTGGTGACAATTGCTTCGGCCTTGGAATCAATTCCGTCTGTTTACAGACCATTTCACTGTCTTTTACCTGCAACATCACTTGTGTCAGTCTCATTAATACCCCTAGATATATAATGGTTGAATTAGCATAATGGCTGAAGCAAAACCCTGGACTGTTAGCACATAAGAAATGTCAACACGTTCTCTTCACTAACCCAATTAGAGGCCATTAACGGGCTCTCTCAGCAGCAGACATCAGCAAAGTTAAAGACAATTCCAAACAGCATCCCTCCAGCCCATTTATTCACCAGATGACCCATAGTAAATGAAATGTTAGTAAACACTCAGCCAACTTAAAATTCAGCTGGTTCATCTTCAGTCTGCAAGTGTCCTAAGCTTACAAGGTAAATTGCTTATCTGGTGTTGTCCAGATGGGACATAAAAAAAAAACAGATCCTACCAGTGTAAATCAAACACTCTAAAGATTAAACATGAACTACAATTTTTCCTTATGAAAATGTCATTACACAGCAAGATAAAAGTGAAAAAAGGTAGGCAGGCATTTGCCGATCATTGAGTCAACCATTTAAACATGCGTTTGCCATGCTTGGCAAGATTTAACAATCTCAGATGCATATTTAGTGGTGGGCTATTAACTTTTTTCAATTAATGGGTTGAAATGTTTCAAACAATCCCAGGGAGTCTGCAGGCAGCTGGTCATCTCGAAAATGTTTACAAATTAGCTCAGAGGTAAAAACAAGGTTATTTTTTAGGGCAGGTAGGAAAGATGTCTCCCAAAAGAACCTGCACTGGAGTTACAGGCAGAGTCTGTGATTGCATAACGTAGAGGGTGACATACCTGAAGATATATAATATTCCCACAATGCTACTGATTGAAAAATGGATGATTGAAAAATAACTGTACACAGTACCATGTAAAAGAAATTACAGCCCTTTAAATTGTTCACATTTTTTCATGTTACAAACACAATTACTTTTGATTATACAGCACAGACCAATGCAAAGATTTGTATAACTTTGAAGCAGGGGTTAAATTAAATATGGCTTTCAACTGTGTAGAAATACAAAATACAAAAAATGTGTCATATAATAAATGCTTTGTAGAACCACCTCTTGCTGCAACACGATTTCTTTGGGGTGGAGGTGACTGGATAAAGAACAGTTGTTGTCTTGCCACAGAACCTTAATTGAATTTTGGTCTGGAGTTTCTGGTCTCACTTCACACACTGATGTACTCTAATCTAAACTTTTAAACTGTTGTGCCTGTATGTGTCATTTTCCCAGTCAAGTGGGAAGATGTGTTCTTACACCCTCTTGCATTGCATCAAATATTTTATGTCAACCAATTTCTTGGTAGTTTTATTTCAAGAAAAACAGCATGTATCTAATAAAACAGATGATCAAGCTAGGCATGCTTTCATTAGCCTCTCCATTGCTGCCATCAGCCTACACCACACTTCAGATTTATTTGTAAATATGTATTTTTTTGTCCTCTGTTTTAATTATACAAGCAGCAGATCTATTGCACGACAGGTTTATAACATATCGGTCACTGACACAGCTACCAGGTGTTGGCTCATGTCTGCATCAGAATGCAGCCCACTGTCTGCTGCCCGGCACTCTCTTCAGCTTTGCGTCCAGGCAGCGATGATAAGTCACCCAGCCAGCCGGTATTGATTGGGGGGGTCCTCACGCCTTATACAACGGCGAGAAGGGAGGTGAATGATTGTGTTTTACAGAGAACATTATCGCTCTACTCAACGCAGGAATGCCAATGGAATTTCCTTGCTCTGGAAATGGAGACGACCACCCAGGCTGGAAGTATATGACTTGACCCACTGAAGCGCTAAGTCCAATTTGAAAGCCAAATTGTAAGGCAAAGAGCAGAGTGGGAAAAAGAGAAATGGTTACAGTTTGCCTGGTGAATTTTCTCCCTTTATCTCTGACCGTTCTACATAATACTACTCTTTCTAGAAAAGCACAAAAGCATTGGAACAAATTGCCTTTACCCGCACGTGTTCTAGTTGGCTCAACTTGAACAGAACAGGAGAAACTGTCTCCCTTTAAAGTTGGTTGGTTGGTTGGTTGGTTGTGCTGTGTGTGTCTCTGACAGACTGGTGACCCGTCCATGGCGTTCCCCGCCTTTTGACCACTGACATCTGCAAGCAGGTGTAGACAGTGAATGGATGTTTATTTAAAAAACAATAGTAAAAATGTATTTTTAAATCAACTTAATGTTATTCATGCAAATGATGAGTGTAAATGACATTCTTACCAGCACTGCACATCAGGGTATTTAAAGTCTGCATAGCTAATTTAAAGGATGAGTAAAAAGATTAGATGCTTCCATGCATTCAACCCAGAGTATGGACAAATGTATTGCTTAACACAATCTATTTATACAACTTTTCAGACCAATAGTTTTTTTGCCAAAACACTTGTCTAAGCATAGCTTTTTGTTTTTAGTAACTCTGGAAGCAGATTAGCTGAGAATCAGTCTGAAAGCTGGAGATTGCCCCAGCTGATAAAAGTTGCTCAAACGTGAAGGTGTTGTCGACTGTCTAATCTTTTCTGCAGCCTTTTTCCTCTCTAACTTCTTGACTCCTCTTGTATTCTCCCTTCTCATCTCCTCTCTCCCTCTTTTTGCTTGATCATTTTTTACCTAAATAAAGCTTGCACACTCTCAGAGTAATCAGGCAAGAGTACCCGGACCTAATAGACTCACGAAAACTCCCTTATCAGCCAGGTGCAATCTGAGGCTGCTGCCGCTTAACAAGGAATTAAACATTTTTTCTACGCTGCTGCCAGCACTCTAATTGATTGATGCTAAAAGTTTGGAAAATAAAAGCCTGGTACGTTGAATGAGGTTCTGCTTCCCAGGCCCTGCCGGACCCCACTGAGAGAGGAATCCTGGATTAGAAGTGGCAGTTCACATTTTCGGCATCAGCCAGCCCTGTCATCTTGGCCAAGCCAGGAATGCGCGTGTCGGTGTGCACGTGTGAATATGTGTGCGTGGCATGCATGCCTGCCACATCACATGGAGAGCAGCGGCTGAAAGACACATGTATTTGAAATAAGGGAATCAATAGAACACTTAATGAACAATTAGGAGAACAGCTGTAGGCCTGTCAGACACCCATCTGCACACAGATCTGCTCTGAGAGAGCAGGATTGAGAGTGAGGCCTTGCTGCAGCTCCCAGGCTATCGCCTCAGGACATGTGCAACCCCACTTTAGCCTATCTACATCCATTTTCACCTCGCCTCCCTCCCTTCGCTCCAAGCTGTGGGAGCCAGGCCTAATTTAGCCGAGCAGACCTCCATCTCCTTTCATCCCTCATCTCGCATTAGCAGGAAAACCCACTAAAGATATGGAAATGGCACAGGACATCCTTCAGGGTTGTGTCAGGGGAGGGGAGGGAGATCAATAAATTTGACAATCCATGGCATTTAATTAAAATGGCTGCCGGAAGCTAGGCAGTTTGTTTTTCTGTGTGGAACCCAGCCTGGCGATTATTGCTCAAATGAATACATAAGTATATTCATAAGCACCATGTACATTAAATCCACCTCACAGCTTGAGAGGGCTTGGAGGGGGGACCTTTCAACTTTCAACGCTGAATGAGCAACCAGACACACAAAATTAATATCTTCACTTGTGCCCCCAGTGACTTAACGTATTCTTGATGCATAAAGAGATATCCCCCCCCAACGAGGGCGCTGACAAATGAACATCGACCACAGTCAGCTCTCCTGATTTGCCAGTCTGTGACAGTGGTGACCTTATGTGCCAGTCAGGACGAAAAATAGTCAACAGTAAACGCACTCTGACAGAGGTTTTGGATAGATAGGTTCAGCCTTCATCTGGTCGTCTGACATTTTTACATGTAGATCAGCAGGCTATGACGGACAGGCATTACGGTGCACTAAGCACAAGGATCTGAGAAGGGCTTCAGTGGGTGGGCAAAGCCTGATAATTGACCTTGTACAGCCTTTCTGTCGTTCTTTATTAAAACTTCATTTAAAGAAGAACAACCCCGGGTGGGTGCTGCCGATGACTCTTTATCTCCCGTTTCCTCAGCAGCCATAATGGATTACACGGGAATCTATTATGCATTCCACACAAGGAAGAAGAAGGGCTCAAAACCTGCTTAAAAATATATTTTTAGTACTGAAAATTAATGTGTTCACACAAGCCACTGAATCATTTTAAATGTTCTTTTTTAGTATATTAGGTATATGTGTTGAAAAGACCTATATTTCAATAAGGCCATGGGCCCAGTGGTGTGAGAGTAATGGGTGTGCTAATTTATTCATGATTTTAGCTGTGTCGTTATCCCTGACATTTTTTTCTTCTTCTTCTTCTTGAACAGTGTATACTGGGTGTTTCACATCTAAATTGTTGTGCAAAACTATTATAGTAAATAACACCATAGAAATGAGACTACCGTACATAACTGTTTTGTGCAACATCTGGTACGTTAGTGCAGTTCTGTGCTTTTATGCAGATCTTTTCTGAAGTTGTAAGAAGTCATGTTACGCAAACAGCAAACATGTCAAAGCAGGCGCTCTCGGTAGGTGAGACCAAAATGGAACTTTTTTTAAAATCATACCATCAGGTTTGGACAGGTGATTTTAAAAATACAACTGGTTAAAATGACAAGCTGCTCCATTTAACATGTAATAGTATTGTAACTAATTTATTTGATTTAAAAAAAAATAATGTAACAAATCACATTTAGTTTTGTTATACTAAATGGGTGACCCTTGAATTTACAGGATGCCACTTGATAAGTAGAGACTAGAGTAACTAGTTCGATCTGATAAGGTGTATGTCTTTTTCTAAGTGGTGCAATTTTCTAATGTTGATATTTTTATAAAAGGTGAAGAAAATTACATTGCTTACTTTAATCTTGACCCAGTTTTAGATTCAAATTTTAACTTTTTTTTTAAAAAAAAAGGTTAATCTGTTGAATACTTCATATTTTTATTACTGTATTATCAGCAGGGGACAGAGTTAATATTGGTGAAAGAACACTAAAATCTAAAACTTCAAGTAAAAACGGCATTGCACAATCATAATAAACTGTATCAAAAACTAATTTTACATGTATTTTTAGTCTATTTTTTACTTCTAAAATTTTAAATGCTTTTCCTATATGCAAGTTCAGACCCTCACATTCAACTCATTAGATCTTTTGGAATATCCTCACTAGGAGACTGCACCATGTCAAAACCTAAATATTGCAAAAGATTTACACATGTCCATTTTATCACTGCTGCAGTTATCCCTGCTGTATTGTAGAGAATTAAAAAAAAATTAATAATTCTTTGCACTCTTTCAATGTGAACAGACTTGCTCACACAGCATGGCGAAGCTTTAGTATTTGTCTTGGCCAATAGTCGAATCATTGTCCACTCAAGAGTTTCAAAATACAGAATGATTATCATGTGTATAATTTTTTACAGTTCTAATTTCTGAGGTATTAAAAGGTTAGATTGGACTATTACGATGACTGTGAGCACAGGTGCTGATTAAGTTGATTCACTGAGGCAATTACAACCAGATCCCCTTTAATTACTGTGGGTTTTATTGCAACTGCGTAGTAATGAAGCACGGGGCCTGCAGGAGTTTTGGATGGAGATGAGATTGCAAAGTAGCACACAAAGACACAAATTTAACAGGATGGAAGAGATCACACTCACACACGCAGCTAGATCCACACACACAATCGAATAAAACTCGAGTGGAAAAAGCTCACATCAGAAACTCTTTTCTCTTGATTTATGGTTGTCTGTCCCCAACACATAATCCTCCACACACATGCCTCTGTATGTCATTAACCAGGTGTATGTTAAGGAATGATAACCAGGCAGAGCTTGCTTGCCTACTGCATGGCAGAGACTGATGCCAAAAGTCAGGTATGACTGTTCCAGAGGGTTTGTGGAGGATGATACACTCTCCTTTATTCAAAGCATGTCCCGCCATATGCATTTTAGACACAAAGACAGGCTGACAACCTCCTAACCTCCAACATCGGCATTCACACGTACACACAGCACACTTGCCGCCCTCCTCAACACTGGCATGCAATAAGAAACAAGTCGACAGCTACACAGCAGGCAATATCCCCCGCCTTCAGCCTCGGCACCGGCTTCGGATGCATCCGGTTAGTAAAAGCTGACAGAGGGCTGGCCATGCCTCAGAAAACAGCAGAATGAGGAATTTCGATGTTCCTCCACATCACCCCTGAGATGCAGGAAACATGGGATTGCACAGGTTCCCCTCACACACAACCCGTAATGTGTTCCCAAGATTCTCTGTCACCAGGAATGGAAATCGAAAGCAGTACACACATCCGTTATCTAAATGTTAACTCCAGTGCCCTTCTTGTTGTCACAGCCTGGTGAGGTTAGCCAACGGTAGGTGTGAAGCTTTGCTTTGGGCCCCTACCACAGGAAGCCTCTCTCTGTTGTAACATAGAAAGAATCTGCAAACCCATACATTAGACACAGTCGTCAATTATTTTTAAGATAAAGTAGATTTTACAAAAGGTCCAATTACACATATAGAAGATATCCAAAATGGAAATCTTGACTTGTTTGTATTTCCATGGTTTGTGAAAGCTCATAAATTGGACATTGCACTTGCTGAGGCAACCAAACACCATCTTAAGTTTCCTAAACTTAGGATTTTCTCAGTCTAAATTCAAAGACACCAAATTGTCAGAATTTGGAACATCCTTATCTTTTCCTTAACCTCAAAAATGGAAGGAGTACATGTTTACATATATATAATTCTATGTCATTCTCATCTCATGTCCATCTATTTATTGCAAAATTTTAGGAACACTAAAAATAACTGATCTAAGGTATTGTGTCAAATAAATTATTCAATTTGGACAAAGTAGATGTGGGACAAAATTCCAAGATTGCCTTAATCATTGAAAAATCCTATTTTATTGCACCAGGTTAAAAACATCTTAAAATAATTGCAAATTAATCAGGGGAAAAGAGAGATAAAGACAAAATTTAAAAAAATAATTTAGCTATATCAGGACTGTAAAAGCAGTCCTGGAATGTATTTAGTTATTCTTACAATATATAGTCTTACAATAATTTGTTCATTGTACCTTCAAAAACAATTTCTTGTTAATTTGTTAATTTTAAGTCATCCGATGATCTTCTGATTATAAAATATTCCGGCTCATCAGCTCAGTAAAACATCAACCATATTCCTTGCTCCCTTCCAGAATTATCTAAAGTTGAAACAAACACTTTACCCCCCAGACGTCAACCCCATACAGTTTTTCTGTTGGTGCAAAACGATCCAGATATTCAGCTCTGGTTATGCCACAAAGCACATTTTTAACCAGAGAGGGAAAAAGGTGAGGGACCTTTGACCTGTGTGCTGTAGGTCATGTTCACGGGGTAGAACGCCCTTAAAGCTGTCTTGTGTGGTGCTGATTAATCACAGCATCATGACATTTGTCTGGCTTCAGCCCAGAGGAGATGTGTTAGGCATGCAGTGCCTCAGCACTTCTCCAGGAGCTTGTGTTTGGCGGGTGTGGGGGTGGAGGGCGTTGCAGGAGACGGGTGGAGACAAGTGGACAGTTGCACGGGCAGACTTAAGACTCCGAACGCAGTCCGATGCAGCGCAGGCGGTATTTACGCTCCGACGGCTGCGGGATCTGGGAGCTGGGTATATTTAGCCGCCTAGAGATCACGCCGAGATGAGATTTCAAAGTGAAGTACCTGTTTGAAGATGCATGGCATTCCACAAGGGTGGGCAAGGGCTACTGGGTATAAATCTAGCGCCCCTGCACCTGGTGTGAAGTCAGGGAGGGAGTGTGACACCTAAGATTTAGAATGTCTAACACACAAGCTGTACATGTGTAAACTACACATTCATCTATATAAATTTACACGCTCCTGAGAAATGAAAAAAAAAAAAAAAAAAAAAACTTTTTTCCTCAATAGCCACACATGCACACTGTGGGTGTAGGACTTTAGTAGCAACTAATTCACCTGGATGTTCAAGCGATCCATCAGTGTCTGATCCTACATTGAGAATCTGAGAACCTCACTTTGCTCTTTAAAACATGGAAGTAAGGCAAATTGTAATTTGTGACTGGTAAGTTTTGCACCCGTACATCACACACACTACAAATTTGACTTTTTATATGCCTCGCAACAAGACAGCCACATTTACTTTTCAATGATAATTTTCTAATCTGTAAATTTCTTGAGGTTAAGCACTCAAAATTGAGCTAGTATTTGTTGGTCCCAGATCTCATCTTTAATTTCAGGCTCAACTGCCAGATACCTCAATGTTTCTTTCCCTAGAAAGCACACCTTGTGCTTATACTTCCTGTATGGATTCAGAACTGAACTCATTTAACCTCCCAATATACTGATTTCCAAGAAGAATCCATGTTTGCATCTAGCTTGTTTTATCAAACCCACTACTCATTTATTGCAATTCTCTTGCTCCTGTGACAAATATTCATAGATCCTTGTAAATACAATGCAAGGAAAGTCAACTCTCAGATCTCCAGGCCTGGAGAACAAATGAGCGTTTCATGTTTCAGACAAATATCCCTCATGTCCCCTCCTATCCACATTTTTAATCTCCCAAATAGAGGAATGTCTATAGATGCTTTGTGTTTGGATATTTAATGCCCCTGCTCTATCTGCAAAGTCTGTTGCTAGGCCAAAAGACAGACATCAGGCAGAAGATCTAAACGATGCCTTTGTGTCCAGGGTGAGAACAAATGAGGCACTCTTAATCCGTCTCCATCCATCCTCACCTTTGCCCTGACTTCCCCACAGAAGGGACATTTCCCTCCTTTAAAAAGCACAGCTCATCATAATACAAGAATTTGCATTGTACAGGGAAAACAGCAACAAGGCAGCAGATCATCTATGGCAACAGAGCTTTGCACACAAGGATATTTTCTTTTCCTCCACAGAGGAACACAATTGCTGCCAGTGTCACTGGGTCACATTTTTTCCCGGTTCCTGGTTAATGGGCTGTAGAGATGGTTAGCACGTACGATTAGTTTTAATCTTCTACATTTGACTGGGTGAGAAAAGGCACTGAATTTATTTCAACACGGTGAAGTTTGCATGCCGTCCTAAAAATGAAGCAAACATTTCATTTTCCTTTAACTTTTATTTTAGGGTGGTTATGAATTTTTCAAGTACAGAAAGAAATAAACTTATTCAAGTAAAATACTTTATTTGGCTCCTTTGTTCAACATTTCAATTTACATTTCAGAAGTTAATTTACAAAAACATTTTCAAAAATACAATTTTATAGTGTTTAAGTGACAATGACATTTGCTAGTGTAGTGTTGGAAATGCATCAGAGAATATTTGAAAGATATTTACAGCAGGGCATGTCAAATGTACCTTAGATAAAAAGTAATGCATTATACAGTAAATGCATCTTTTTATATTGCACTTTTCTGTCTTTGATTCAAGTGTCTAATTCATGCTGATGAAAATCTGTTGTTCATAAATAAATGATTCACACCAGCAATCTTCCAGTTAAGAGATCAAAGCACATTGGTGGTATGTGTCAAGACTGACATTATTGCTTAAAAAAAAAAAAAAAAAAAAAAAAAGCTAAACTAAAACTTAAGGGACTCTGTGCGCACTAAAAATCTTTTTCAGTGGGTGCATTTTTTTTTTTATGTTTTT